TCTTCTGCGCCTTCGCTGTTTCTTATTGATTCTAGCTTTAAATAATTTGGATATGCCATATTTCTCTCGTCAAAGATGACATCTCTTGATTTCTTTACTTGTTTTGTCTTTAAGTCGATAAGTCTATATCCTTTTGATTCCTCACAGTATCCGACAAATACGTGCTCATGCGACTTCGCATCCCATTTTCTTCTCTTTTCTTTCGGTATGTGTGCGTATGCGACACAACCGAAGACACGTAGGTGATCTAGATTAGGCTTGCGACCGGTCCATGCTTCTTCGGGAGTCTTATCTTTAAGAGCTACAGTAGGCGATCTGTTTTTTAAATAACATACAGTGTTGACTGCTTCGGCCCAATATTCCTTTGGAAGTTGTGCATCTTGTAACATTGACCGGGCTTTCTCAACCAATGTTCTGTTGCATCTCTCTGCAACGCCGTTTTGCTCTGGGGTATACTCAACGGTCGTTTGATGTTGAATACCCTTCCTTTTGAGAAATTCTTTGAACTCATGATTTATATACTCTTTTCCATTGTCCGTTCTGATGGATTTAATCTTTCTTTCTGAGAAATTTTCGACTTTTGCTGTAAACTCTATAAATTTTTGAAGAACTTCAGATTTATTTGATATGAAATAAATAAATGTTTTTCTAGTGAAATCATCCGTGAAAGTCAGAAAGTATCGTTTTCCTCCTAAGGACTTTTCTGACATTGGGCCACATACATCGGAATGGACTAGTTCAAGGGTCCTGGAGGCTCTACAGGCCTTGCCTTTTGGAAAAGTGTTACGAGTTTGCTTTCCTTTTATACAGCTTGGGCATATTTTGGTGCTTTCATCTTTTTTGAATTCGATACCTTCTGCCAGACCTTCCTGCAATCTTCTCATGCCTCCTGCGCTTAAGTGACCTAATCTACGATGCCAATCTTCAAAACTTGTACAATTTTCTTTTTTAACTGCATAACATAGAGATTTTTCCTCTACGCAGTCTAATTTATATAGTCCATTTGGTGTCGTTTTCGCAACTGCAATTAATTTTTTTGTTTTTGAGTGGGAAATTTTACACGTATTATTCTCAAAAACTATCATTAGACCTTTGTTTTCTAGCTGCCGACAAGATAGTAAATTATATTTTAAACCTGGTGCGTATCTGACATTTGATATAGGTGTCTTCACTATATTTCCATCTACGTTTAGGTCTACTAATACGCTTCCATATTCGATAATTTTAAATTCTTCTCCAGATGCAGTGGTTATACGTTCGTTCGGTTCTAACGTTCTTATGTTATTTAGCCAGTCTTTTCTTCCGGTTACATGTACCGATGCTCCGGAGTCGATGTACCAATCTGCTGGGTTGAGGTTTGCTATCCCAAGTACCGAGGAATTTAGTATTAGCCCTACTTCTGCTTCTGACTCTACTACGTTGCCTTTTTGTCCCCTTTTATTTCCTTTTCGACAATCTTTGGCAATATGTCCAAATCGATTGCAATTGTAACATTTGATTTGGTTGTTTCGTGTTGACTTTCTTCTTTGAAAACTACTATGTGCCATTAACGCTGGATCGTTATCTTTGTCTTCTGCTTTTGATGCTGCGGCCGATAAACGTTCTTTTACAAGATCTGTTGTGAGCGTGGCTCCACAGTTTTCCAGTGCCATTATTAGGGGTTTGAAATGGTCTGGTAAACTTACGAATATTAGCGCAGCGAGTACACCGTCTTTGATTTCGCAATCAATGGATTTGAGCTGCTGTGCCAATTTTACTTTCTTGGAAAGGTATTCGTCCATTCCTTGACACTCGCTGTATTTTATTGAAACCAGTTGTTCTATCAAAGAGGCTACTCTGGAAAAACCTTTTGGTTGGAAAACTTTTTCCAATCGATCCCATACTTCTTCTCCCGTTTTGAGATTTCTTATTTCCGTATAAATATGGGATTTTACGCCCGATACTATTGCTGCTAAAGCTCTTTTGCTTTTTGCTTCATCCGTTTTGGAACCAGTAACGAATTCCCACAATTCACAATTTATAAGGTGAATTTCCATTGCGTATTTCCAATCCATGTAGTTTTCGCCCCCTTCCAACTTTTCGAAGGATGCTGGAACTGCCGTGTTCATTGTCGCCGACGTTTCTACCGTACTTTAAAGCTTTCTTTAATTTGCTACAGCTTTACCTGGGCCCATAACCTGTAGAGTTATGTGATTTTCGGTAGAAAGAAAATTCTTATCAACTTTGACAAAAATAACTTTATTGACAACTAAACAAAACGTATATGTATATAACATAATCAAGTAGGATTCTGAGTCACAATGAAGCAAACAGTTAGTGCGCTCAGCTTCTAACAGAAACCTAAAAAATAATATTTTTAAAATGTATTTTTAGTTCGATAAAGTATAATTACCTTTTATAAGTATTTGGTGTAAAATGTTGCCGGACATTCGGTTAAATGTTTATCTTCTGGTTTACAACGATTGATCTGCAATTCTTTGTATTTATTGTAGTTTTTTTTTATTTGGTGTCATCGGCATCGACTGCTAAAGATACTTAATGAATGAAATAATAAATTTACATCAGGCATTGTAATCTGAAACAAAGACAATGGTTTAGAAAATATTTATCTATTTTATAGAGGACCCTTACCAAATCTATTCGAATGTATAAATAATAATTATTTATAAAATAAATTCTGGATGTCGAAAAATAAACCATTAAAAAAGACAATTGACAAGAAAAACTGACAAGTGACAATTGACATAAAACTAAACGTTCTGAATTCAGATTTGTAATGTTTACGGTAGGTTAACTAGGTAAATAACAAATAGAAGTTTTGCGAGGTTTTGATTTCCCTCAACAACTTCTCATGAACGTTGCATTTACGTTGTATAGTAATGTTATTACGTTCCCTTAATGCAACATCGCCGAAAGGCTTGGCAACGTTATGTGCTAGCTGGGTATGGTCTTACATAATCGCCAGGTTCGTTTTCCGATGCCAGTTCGGCCGTGTGTTGCCGTCTTACTTTTCTGTCTATAAAAAAATTCTCACTACGCCCGCTGTGGAAGTACTAATCATGGAGGAAGGTACTAATGTTATGTATTAGCCTTAGATCTATAAGACCGGCTCGAGAACTCTAAGTGAAATAATGCTCAAATCGTGTCTCTCAGCATTGAGAACTTCTCTATAACGCGGGAATTAGCAAACACCATGAGTGTCATATTTATGCAATCAGTTACGAAATGACTTATTTTATGTAACGACTGATTATTTGCGTAACGGCATTTCGTAACGTGTTACATACAATATTCTCATTTTGACTAGATTATTTATAAAATAGTGTTTTGGTAAAATATTACTAACATCTACGCAACTAAAATTATTTTCTTGTATTTTTGTTAATTTCAATCATTATTACTAGGCTGTAAGTTCACTAACCAAATTCTATTTTATATCATTATTTTAAAATAAAAAAAGGTTTAATTTTATTTTTTTTTTTCGCAAATGGTGACGTAATGCATTTTTCGTAACCAGTTTCATAATGCTCAACATGAACAAATAAAAATCAGTTTCAAGTTCCATCAATACATTTATTATTAAATACAACAGTATCGCATGTATAAAACAAAAATTATTTCCTTATAGATAATAAAACGTAATACTTGATAATAAAAAATGCAGAATATAAAAAAATATAATTAATTATATCACATCTCATTTATTTACATTTCTACCTATCTACCAAGAAGTCACAACATATAAAAGTTTAGTAAACGCTCTAATATGTCGATGGCTCAATCAAATACTGCCACAACTAAAATACTATTGTTTTGAGAAATTTCACTTTGAAATTTCTCTATTATCATTATTTTGTTTTTAACATAAGATTTATTTAAAAGCTACGACATTTTGCTGTTAAAATTAACGGTTACGATTATAAAAGCGCTGTAACTCGAGTTATTGCGTAGTTTGTAAAAAATTGATGTTTTGCAGAAAATAACCCAAATTGAGGCCGTTTTAGATACAGTTTTGAGTTGTGGCTAGATTTTAAATTATTTTTGGGCATCTCTCAAGGATATTTTGGTTTGTGGCGGTATTTAAAATAAAAACTCAATGATACTTTGCATCCATTGAACCAAAAATGATTTTTTCTCTGTTTTTTGACTTGTGGCGGTTTTTGATTGAGCCATCGATGTGTCGTTAATGTCGTTTTCTTATATTAGCATGACGAAGCAGTTTATTGTGAAACAAAATTGTATATAGATTGTTAAATTTCCTAGAAAGACCTAGAGAAAATAAACTGTCAGATAAACGACGAAATTAAATGAAATCTCACTAAATGAAAATCGTGGCTATACCTCGTTTTCTTTCTTGATTTATGTTTGTTTGCCTCCCAATAAACGTGTAAGTAATTTAACAATCTATATGTGATTTAAAATCCCTAAATTGCGAAGCATTATAAAAACATAAAAACGATTTTTTAGCACATTGACAAATAATTAAAACAATATGTATGTTATGTAGATATATTATAAAATATTTTTAATCTAATAGAATCGAATCTTCTCCTGAAGTCGTCAAATTGGCAAAACACATTTCGAAGGTGCTACCAAATCGTTCTGATTTTATAATTTATTTATAAGACGGATTCCATTTAATGTTAACAGGAAAAAGAATAGTTTTTCAATTATTATAATTATCAACTTTCAAAAGACAGACCAAATTAACAAGATGTCGAATTATATTACCTATCTAAAATTATAAGGAAAAAGGTTTCGTTTTCCTCTAAATTATCCAGAACACGGGTTTTCATAATTTTAATAAATACTAAAATGAGATAATTTACAATTTTGTGATTAAATATATAATAAATAAAAAAATAATCTTAGTGTATCCAATAAAAAAATTATTTAAACTAAGAAACTAATGGCATATGTGCAAGGAAGCAAATTACCTATATACTAATTAACTGTTTTTTTATTAATAAATGGTATGGGTATAATCACATTGGTTTTATAATAAATTATATTTTATAGTTTTGTATTTTGTTTTTTTTTTGTTTTTTTTTTGTTTTTTATGATGTTATATTAGATATTCAAATATGAATATAAACGTGATAGATGATCAATTTTGCGATTTTACAATTTTTTTATTTTATTGAAGGTAATTATCAAAAACATGTTTTTATAGATTAGCTTAAAATAGGTGATGTCAGTAAGAATACTATATTATTATTATTATTATTTTTTTTTTGTTTTTCACTTAACGAATCATTGACACCAAACAATTAACGAAAGGTACCTTCACTTAAAATGCAAATTATGGCTAAAGTCTTAATTTTCTATGAGTAATTATGAAAACTTAAAATATGTATATTTGTTTACTAGATGATCCTAATTGTCCTTTATATTTTTTGGTTATGCATTTTTCACAGTGTCTAGGTACACGCTAAATTGTACGCAATTCAAAAATTTATATACACGCGAAACGTCTTGACAGAGTAGGTGAGCTGTGTGCGGGCCATTGGTGTTTACGCCGGTCGTAGCTACGAAGCTGGGTATGGATTGAAATTTTTTTGTGGCGGCGAAGCCGCCACCCTACGAAAAGTCGTTGCTTCGTTTTCTTGTTGTCACGGCATTATTATTATTATTATTTGTTCATGTATGTGAAATTTGCTTCTAAGGTTTATAAAACACTACTGTGCTAGTGCTACGGCGTCAATGAAAACAAACAAGACGCATTCACACAAACACCTCCCACCATAGCAATATAACGTTTCGCGTGTATATAATTTTTTAATTTTTGTACACATTAGCGTGTACCTAGCAACAGCGTTTATTTTTATACAGTTGCAATTTGTATTTGCACTAAGACAGGTTGGAATTTTTATTTTCTCATAGTATAGAATAAAATAGAAATTATTTTTACATTTTTTCACAACCAAATAAATCATTTTGAAAAGCATTGCAGCATTAACATTGTAGCTGACTGAAATGTATGTTTAAAATTGTAAAATTTTCGCTCTACGTATCTTCTTTATAAACCATGGATGGTATTTTGAAATCTTTGTTCCATTTTGGAATATTTTCACCTCTGCGATCTGACTCTGGACGATGATCATTAGTGGTAAAAAGATCATCTCCCGTTTCTTCTATTTTACAGGTATCCGCCCATTCGCTTTCTGGATCAGAAAAAATTGGTTCGTTATCGAGGATGTCGTCGATGTCGTATTGGGATCCATCTAAAATACTAATAGTTATAAGGATGTCAATGATAGGAGTTAAAGATTTTTAACTTTTTGTTCAAAAAGGCGTAAGACAAACTCCCATTACAAAGGAGGAAATTAGTTTTGGCATGTGATTAAATTATTACAACCAAATTTATCCTATCTGATATACATTAATTAAGAAGGCACGTGTGGATTCAAACAGAAATAAATATATAGTGAAAGTAATATTTAACATTACTCACCGTCGCCCAAGTCCGGGTTCCAATCTGATTCAGCGTGGTCAGGCCAATCATCGTCAAACTCCAAGTTTTTGTTGGCACTTCTCTCGTGAGAAGTCTGAACAATTGGAGAATCGCTATCGGTTACGTCGAATATTTCTGTGACTTTAACCTAAAAAAAAAAACAAATTAATATGGTTAATATGGTTAACATAACTCATAAAAGATGTTTCAATAACAAGTTATAAAAGTAATTTTAAAAAACCGACTTCAAAATCGTGCAGATGCCACCATCACATCTTGACCAAATTTATAGGGGATCACACCTGATGTACCCCTTTTTTAACAAAAAAAGAATCTTAGAAATCGGACAAGGTGGTAAAGAATTATCGCTAAACATACATAAACAATGAAAAGTTTGAGGATTTTCTAATGGACCCAATTATTAGATTTTGAACAAATTGATATGGGATCACTCCTGAAGTACCCCCTTTCTAACAAAAAAGAATCATTGAAATCGGACACTGTGTTAAAGAATCGCTGAACATACATAAAAAAATATTACGACGAATTGAAAACCTCCTGCTGTTTTGAACTCTGTTAAAAACTGCTGAACCAATATCCAATTTACAGGGGGTTTCAAAAATATTGGTCATAAATTATACCACGTATTCTTGGGTCAAAAATAGGTCGATTAAACCGTACTTTCCTATATACAAAAGTGCTCCCAAAAATAGTATCAGATGAAAATTTAATTGAATTTTTTTAACGTTGCTCTTAAACCATTTGACATTTTTTCATGAAATTTTATATGACGTGTTGGAATACCATGACTAACAAAATCGAGGTAGAGGCAATATATTTTTTTTTATTTTTGTAGGATTTTGGAGGGTGTTACCGCCCCTTTCTCTACTCAACTTTTTTTGTAATATAAAATTTAATTAAAAATCGAACGCTACTGAAATGCAACATCTATTTGGAAACTTTTTTCTTTCTTAGTATTTGTTTGTAAAATGTTTGGTTTAGACGATACAGCCACTTAAAATGACATCTTAAAAATATTCAATGTAAATTATACGTATGCAAAAATATCAACATTCGATTTTCATTGTTAAAACTATGTAGTAAGTGTATACAGGAGGAGAATGTAATTTTGAACACTGTTAAATTAATTTTTTTTATTTTGATGACATTAGTTTGTAATTTAAAATAAAACTTGATTTTGATATTTTTTATACGTACAATTTCCATTGAATATTTTTAAGTTGTCATTTCAAATGGCTGTATCGTCTAAACTAAACTTTTTACAAACAAATACTAAGAGACAAAAAAGTTTTCAAATGGATGTTGCATTCCAGTGGCGTTTCATTTGTAATTAAATTTTATACTACAAAAAAGTTGAGTGGAGAAAAGAGCGGTGACCCCCTCCAAAAACCTATAAAAATCAAGAAAAAAATATTACCTCTTCCTCGGTATTATTAGTCATGGTATAACACGTCATATAAAATTTCATGAAAAAATGCCAAACGGTTTAAGAGCAACGTTAAAAAAATTAATTAAAATTGCTAATATAGTGGCCAAATCTAAATAATTCAAAGTAAAAATGTGTACCAAGTCGGAATAAAACTTTTGAATTGTGAAAACCCCTTTTTTATATATGCTGTAGTTTATCGTGAATTTTCCTTGGGGCCCCCTGTAGAGTAAACTAAAACTTCTAATAACATTAAATTTAAAAAATGTTTTTATTTAATTGAATATCACGAATTAATATTAAACATTCAACAGTTGTTTAGATAATTTTAAATTTAGTAGTTTTCTAAATGTATTTTATATTATACTATAACATTGTTTATCTATAAATACTAAGTGGGTCATCGAGATTATGAGACAATAAAATATTTTAAATTATTGACCTTTCAAAATCATTTATAACCCGGCAATGTCAACTTTGACGTACTTTTATTTACTTTAACGATTTCATTATAAAATTGAGAACTTAAATCTTTTAATTGCTAATAGAGGTCGTCTGAATCTTTTTATATAAATAAAATAAAACAATTCTAATTATAGATTGTAGTTCTTTTTAAATTTTAAAAGTTACTACCTTTATGAATTTTTTCAATAATCGAAGGTGATTTTGTCCTATTTGTAGCCAGAAAGCCAATCTGGACAGAGTCCAAAAAAAATTTAATAAACGTTATTTACCTTATTATTTTCGTCCAAATAATAGTAAGCCATTATCGTATCGTGTTGTGATGTGACATGTAAAATGTGATCAAATGTATCGTTGTCCATAGTATCGGTCCTATTTATTGTGAAACTGGGTTTTCTTTGTAGAATTTCCTTTGTGTTGAATTTCCTTACTGGGCTTTGATTTAAAGGCAAATCGCTAAAAAAAATTAAATTTTAAAAAGATCTAACAGACTAATTAAAATATCAAGGAAAATGGAAATAATTTATTCTTCTGTCATATGATATTCGATCGCACGCTTATGAAAATAAAATAATATAGTTTGATGTAAACACCAGAGGGAGGTACTATTATTTTTATTGAAAATAATTCATTATAGGTACAGTTGACGAAACACAAATGTGAAAAATTTAAGGGTGTTGATTTAGACTTTGCATCATAGTCATATTCAAATTGGCCATCTTTTAAAATTGGTGATATTGTCAAATAACTTTTTAAAAATGCCGCAGTATTTAAATGAGGCTCAAAAATCGAGGGCTATAGTAAAGACAAAATGAAAATAAAGATTCGTAGAATTAAGCTGCTAAAAACCTTTTGGAACCGCTATGAAGGTACGAGAAGAAAAATTGTTCCGAAGATCTTTCAGAATAGCTCAAATGCGTTTAAAAGTTTTTTAACTGCATAAAATAAATAGGTGCAGTCGAGTTAAGCTTGCAAATGAATTTTTAATTCACGGGGAGCAATTCTGGAACAACGTGGTATTCTCCGATGAAAAGATATTCCAATCTTCTAACAGCGAAAGGCTACAAGTTTATCATTCTAGAAACTCAATGTTTGAAGAGAATAAACTTTGGATACTACCAATACTGAGCTTTTTCGTCAATGTATGGACGTGAATAAGCGTTAACGGTCCTGGAATGTGATGGCAAATTGATAATTTATACGGCTAGAATAGTAAGAGAGTAGCTCAACAACAACAAAATAAATGTTTTGTCATTGCCAGCAAAAAGTATCGACTTGAATCCCATTGAAAAAGTATATGGCTTCATAGTCAAAAAAATATATATGAAAAGTTCATGTTTTTTCTTACGACCCCCCTTTCCCATGATGAACACCTCTGATATTTAGAATTTACGTTTAATGAATATGTTGACAAGCATTTAATGTATGGGCTTGCATCTTGTAATGCCTTAGAAGACAGAAGGCTTTATGAAGTACGATTTCCAAACAGAAGAATACCTAATAGGAAAATCTTTGAAAGAGTGAAACGTCGTTTGAGAGAGACAGGTAACAAAAAAGAAAAAAAGAAAAAAAGAAAAAAAGAAAAAGAAAAAAAGAAAAAAAGAAAAAAGAAAAAAGAAAAAAGAAAAAAGAAAAAAGAAAAAAGAAAAAGAAAAAAGAAAAAAGAAAAAAGAAAAAAGAAAAAAGAAAAAAGAAAAAAGAAAAAAGAAAAAAGAAAAAAGAAAAAAGAAAAAAGAAAAAAGAAAAAAGAAAAAAGAAAAAAGAAAAAAGAAAAAAGAAAAAAGAAAAAAGAAAAAAGAAAAAAGAAAAAAGAAAAAAGAAAAAAGAAAAAAGAAAAAAGAAAAAAGAAAAAAGAAAAAAGAAAAAAGAAAAAAGAAAAAAGAAAAAAGAAAAAAGAAAAAAGAAAAAAGAAAAAAGAAAAAAGAAAAAAGAAAAAAGAAAAAAGAAAAAAGAAAAAAGAAAAAAGAAAAAAGAAAAAAGAAAAAAGAAAAAAGAAAAAAGAAAAAAGAAAAAAGAAAAAAGAAAAAAGAAAAAAGAAAAAAGAAAAAAGAAAAAAGAAAAAAGAAAAAAGAAAAAAGAAAAAAGAAAAAAGAAAAAAGAAAAAAGAAAAAAGAAAAAAGAAAAAAGAAAAAAGAAAAAAGAAAAAAGAAAAAAGAAAAAAGAAAAAAGAAAAAAGAAAAAAGAAAAAAGAAAAAAGAAAAAAGAAAAAAGAAAAAAGAAAAAAGAAAAAAGAAAAAAGAAAAAAGAAAAAAGAAAAACGAAAAAAGAAAAAAGAAAAAAGAAAAAAGAAAAAAGAAAAAAGAAAAAAGAAAAAAGAAAAAAGAAAAAAGAAAAAAGATGTTTAAATTGGTCCATTTTACAGTCTTATCTAGTATCCATCGAATTTAAAAATTATTAAATTATAACAAGTACTTTAAAAATAATTATTAAAAAAAAAAAGATTTTCAGTGGTGTCCATTACGGGACCATATCTTTGAAAAGGGGGGTTGTAGGAAAAAAAAATTATAGGAACCTGTCATGTTATCTTTATGTGTTCTATCTAAATCTGAGAGATAGCCAACATATTATGGGACACTCTGTATCAAAGAGACTAGGACAGCAAACCGCGGTCAATTATAGTAGCCCAAGAGCCCACTGCAAACGTTTACCGTCATCTGATAAAAAAATGAAATATACCCCAAAAGCATGTAAAAACATTGTTCTTTACCAAATGGTACCTGTGCCAATCCCAATCCTGAGCAAAGTGGCTTAAAAAAATTATTTTATATTAAAAAAATCACATAAGGCATGACAGCGCTAATTTTGTTTGCCCTTAAAGATTTCAAGAAAATAACATTTAAATATATGTTGATATATATCGTTAAAGGGAAACATTTTCTTCCCCTTAACATGTCACAAAAACATCTATCCACGATTAGTAGGTAAAAATCATTAAAAATATGAATCAATTTTTGCTGATTTAAAAATTTATTTGTATGCCTATTGTTGTGATAATTTTTATAGGTTGCCATAGAAACGACAAAAAAACTACTATGATTATGGTTTAAAAGAATTGTCTAACAAGAGTTTATAATTAATATTGACTAGCTCTGCAAATGGTTTATACAATGCCATCCTTCCTCCTTTCACACATACACATGGTTTAAAAGGTAGGTAAAAATATTAATAATTCAGGTTTAAAAGCTAGGTTCACTATGAATTAGGATTGTAATTTTCAGGGAAAACACAATTGTCGCTGTCATGTCTTATGTGATTTTTTGAATATAAAATAATTTTTTTTAACTACTTTGCTCAGGATAGGGATTGGCACACGTGCAATTTGGTAAAGTACAATGTTGTTACATGCCTTTGGAGCATATTTCATTTCGTTATCAGATGACGATCGAAATTTGCAGTGGGCTCTCAAACTATAGGAAGTTTTAAAAAATGCTTGGGAAAAGCTCGTAGATTCCTACGACATGCAACTTTTAATTTTGTCCATACCAAGAAGAATGGAAATCGTTGTGGCAACCAATGGTGCAGCAATCAAATTTTAACAATATTCTTGCTATATCTGTTAAATTTCGAGGACTTTATTTTCAATACACCTTGCCTCAAAAGTCTTTGCAATCTTTTATTGTTTTTTCCAGCGTTTTTTAACGTAAAACATGCAACTATTAAGCTACCATTTGGGCAGGCGCAACCTAGACCGACTTCAAGCGTAAAATGACAGGAAGGAGACTGAAAACGGTCTCTTCACGTCTGAATACATGTAATTATATGAAACACATTTAGGAAGGCGCGACGGACGACAGCAGTTTTAGCACGGTAGGATTTGCCGCTTGCTGCCTGTCGCTTGAAGTCGGTTTCCGGACATTTAACATTTAATTATTCTGCACCTACTTTACATAAATACCAATTACCGTCCAATATTGCTATAGCCTTTGATTTTCTCTTGTAATAAATGGTTTTTGCAGTTTTATTTGTTCATATGTAAATTAAATTTTGTTATTTTCTATTATAATAAATAAATGTTTTTTGTAGTTTTATAGGCTTACACGTTAATTTAATTTTAACAGTTTATTCTTTTAATTTTAATTTTTTTTATTGCACATTTATAGATAAGATCGATTAGACAAAACGGCACTAATAAGAGTAATATATTTTTTTACGCCCATGTCAGTAAACGTTAAAAATCGCACTGTCAACATTCCTTGTAAATGACATTTAACAATAACATGCACGTAATGATATCTCATAACATACACGTGCGTTTTGATAAGAAAACTTAAATTTCTTAGTTTAATCATTGTATTTAGAGAAGATAGTAGAACAACCTTATGGACGTTTCATTGGAGGCAATTCTGTCGCGACATCTGTTAGAAATTCATCAAAATATCCCGAACACTAGCACTTCCTCGATCTTTGAGTACAGAATTCTATGTACATAAAATTTTCTTAATTTTTAAAATTCATATGGGTAGAGTGCTAAATTTAAATTACTGTTCTTTATATTCTCTAAAATGATAATAAATCGTAAATGAATGTTCAACAAGCATAATTAAACTTGTATATTCCATTTTTAAAACAAATATTCTGAATCGATTATGGACCCATCTATTAGTAAATAGAGAAATTACGTTCGTTTCGAAGACGACAAAATTATCAAAGACATGACTTGGACACCACGGAGCTTGCTGCCATCTATTGATACTGTCCATTGTCCTCCAAGATAATTTGCATTGGTATTGTTTTACTAGTTGATCTAAATACAATGGTTTAATCAAATTGCAATCAAATTTTTATCTACATAAGACTTTATTTGGTCTATTTACATAAATTTAGTCATTAACGAGATACATTTTGGATTAAAAAAGTAATGCCCCTAAATGTCGGCAACACATTATACAATTTTTAAAAAATAAGTCGCGTTTTCTTAGCATGCTATGGAAATAAACGTCTTTGTAACAAAATATTGTATTCAAACATTTTCTCAACTTTACCTACGAATATGTCTGTTAGTAGCGACAGTAATGAAATTATGACCACTCCACCGGAAAAAGCTCAAGTTGCCATACATAATTTGTTACCGCTAAAATCCAAATAAAGGTACGAAATACCCTATCGAAAATTTATGGATTGGCGACACACGAATATGTCCTTTATTTAATAGAAGAAAATAAGTGGGCGTACAAAAAGTATAGTACGTCACACGAGTTGTAAGCCCATTACTTTTTTACTTCGTGCGTAATGGGTTACTTACAACTCTTGTTACGTAATATACTATTATGTTCTCAATATATTTTCCTCTCTCGTTGTAATACAGGAATAAATTTCAGCAAAAATCCCATGACAACCAAAAAGCATTCACCTTTGGGTTGCGCCAACTGTACATACGATTATTAATTTGAAAATTGCAATTTCTTTTGATGACTATTTTTACTTCCTTCGATAAGAGGAAAGTATTGTAATCGTGAAAAAGTCACCTTGCGAGATTATTTCAGATTTTCACGTTTCAGGGCCCCTAGATTACGAAAAACATGGTTTCCCATTCCGTCGATCTGTCTGTCGTCTATCTGTCTGTTGGCACGATAGCTCAAAAACGGTTTTATAAATGTAGATAAGGTTCCTTTCTGTCTCAAAACCAGTTATATACAGGATGAGCAGTTATTTTACAAAAAAAATATTTTTAAAAGTCGGCAGATTTCGACTAAAATTGGAATCTGTGAATTTTAGAAGTCAAAGACAACAGATCCTAAATAGATTTTCAAAAATTCAAAATGGCGTTGAAAGAAATAGTAATTAATCAAAAAAAGTCTCCATTGAATGGAAATAAGAAAAGGCGTCCTTTTGGTTTGTGTAACTGAACCATTTTAAAAGTAGCCAATCATTATTATTCAATAACAGTGAACGTGACGAAGAATACTGAGCGGGCGCGAAGTGAGATTTCGGGTGGGATCAAGAAAAAGATCGATTGAGAGAGAAATATGAAAAAGGGGTTTTCGGTTTGGTGACTTTAATTTTAAATTAATAAAATTTAAGAGCTTAGGAGTTCCCTGTTTCTACAATTTCTATATCGAGGGAAGTTCTGGGTAAAATACTTTACCGACTTTTTTAACGAAAATTAAAAGCGTGACTAGAAGCAAGAAATTTTTGAGTAATAAATATTATAATCAAAATTTTGTTTATTTGCAATAATTACCTGTCTTCTAATTTAAGTGTGAAGTTCAAATTCATTTTATTTTCACTCTTCAAATCCTGACAAGATTCCACATCGTACTTATCTGTAAATAAATGCAATAGTTAGATTTATATAGGTTTTTTAAATAATGAAAGTATTATTTTAGATGAAAACGTATTCAGTTTTATTTTTATAACGTCCTTATTTTTGAACCAAATAAATATGTTAGCGGTATTTCTCTATACTCCCCACCATACATTCTTGAAGTCCATACACATGCGTGTCAGGATGGACGAGCGGGAGAAGACAGACTAGCGCAGTAGTTAGTACGCTAATAGACAGTGGCAATACCACAGCAACATTGTAATTGAGAATACTTGATCGTGAAATAAACCATTGAAAAAGCAGTTTAGACATTTTTATTAGGGATGATAGATCCCTTATGTTTATATCAGAAGTGGGATCACTACGCGTACCGCGGCTAATAGACTGTAATTAATTATTTAAGTAGAAGTTAGTGCTAGTGACAATGGCGGACGAAAATCCTGAACCTCGTGACAGTGCGTCAGCAGAACACAATGTCGGTCGATGCTAAAGACAATGTGAACGGACATAGTTCAAAGCATGCTAAATTTCAGTGGTAATAAACATTAATAAACTTTGTAGCAGCCCAAGAGTAATAAATTTTGATGTCTCTCAACATTCCAAGATGGCTACGTAACCGTTCGTCAAGCCAACGCCCAGAGTTGCAGGAACAAATTAATCTAATACGCAAGCGCCGACATTTGCGCCTGTGCAGTTTTCGACTAACTAGTTATGACCCTGAAGACAGCACATATTCCATAAAAGAATGGTTTGAGTAACGATACCAAAAATAAAAGGCGAACTCAGCGTTAGAGATAACTTCATGGCCGCTAAATCGAGCAAAGCATCTAAGTATCGCGGTTATTGTTATTGTTGTGACTGGCGACTTCTTTCTCGAACGTGGCAAGACTTTGTGATGTCCTAATTGTTGCATTTGCTGACAAGGAAACACCAGCTGCTCGTGAATACAAGGCTACACTTCAATGCCATGATTGTAACTCACGTGTGTGATTGTGAAAATCAAAAATTGTGAATCATCACTAAATTTTAATAATGCTTTGCTGTGGCATTCAGTTCCGGTTTAGACAATTCAAAAGCCAAATTCCGAACGAGAGTGGTGAGCTCATAAAATTACTTGCTGAATTTGATGCGATCCTTGTTAACTTGAGTTCCCGAGAATGACGAAAAATGCAGAGATAATTAGAAAACCAAGAAGTCAGTTTAAACGAGAAGCCGCCGCCAGGACACCAACAAATAATATCATGTCGGAGTACATAACAGGCGAGTACATTTAACACGGTTACTACACATAAAAATCCGACAGTATTAAAGCATTCATTAAAAGAAAAATGGGTCACCTCGAATCCAATTATTGTTATAAACAAAGAAAGTCTAAAAAAAAAACATTTGTGTTAAAATAAATAATGCCATCTAAATTCGACACCGACAGCCGATAACCATGTTATTATACTGTGAGCAAGCTCAGTCGTTAAAATTCCTTATTGATAGTGATGCTGACATATCAATAATTTAACAATCTGTAGTAAAAACATTAAAAGGATCGATTGGGCTAGCTGAATAAGATGCAGGTGCTTCTTGGAGTTGTTGACATTATCGCTTTTTGTTATTTGTTAGTCATTTACCGACTGTTACATTAGAGGTCGTTCCAAATATTGTGGTTGCAGAAGATATTGTTATTGGATGCAATGTCAGATGCCGACCTTGTTTAAGTGTCGAGAAAAATGCCGATGGGATTAGGTTACATTATGACCTGCTCAACATTCAGAAAATGTTTACAATAAAAAAATTAACGATATGAAAATTAATCAATTAGAATTAAAAGACACTTTAAAAATACAAGTGAATAGACTTTTAACATTTTACAAGAATAAATCTCCTGACCACATAACTACCGGAAAAATGTCAATTAAGATTAAAATGCAGTACTCCAGTAGCGTATCGACGAAGGCGATTAGCGTATCAAGACAAAATTCAGCAGAAGAAAATTATAAACAGTGACATTATCCGCAGAAGTCACTTAAAATGAAGGTGGGTAAGGTTTTCTGGATTTTCCCCATCTGTAAGTCAAATGGCAGTCATCTTTAAGTCGTCCCGGAGCGTCACTACAAATAAAATGATAGCCGTTCTTTCCACACACAAGCTCAGTCAACTTTGCAGATTGAAATTCACTCGTAAGTACAAGGGGTGAATTAGGGCGAGAATTAGGGAGAGTATTCCTATTGTATTATAAAATATAAAAGTCCTATTGTGCTATTAAAAAAAAAAGGTTTTGAAGATCAAATTAATGCTTTTAAAATATTTTACCACGTTGGACATAAAGTCAAGCTTTTATCAAATGGAAATAGAAGAAAGTTCCAAACAGGTAACTGCTTTTGTTACTAAACCTATTGCATACTATAGTCGCCGCACGACTGATTGTGAATCAAGGTAACATTTTTACAATCTAAAGACTTGTTATAGTGAAAGCGGTTGAACACTTTCGTGTGTATTTGTACAGTGTGCATTCAATAGTATATACAGACTAATTCGGTTCGAGAAAAAGCTGTAAACAAATTATATACGCGCGCGACGCGTTGATGTGATAAGTTATAGAATTAAAACTTTTCTATTGAGTACCATCCTGGACATAAAATGTAACATATAGATTATTAAAAAAATCCAGTGAATTATGTAAGCGAGTTAAAAGTGTGCCCGTTAAAAACAAACAAACAAACAAACAAAATTACCGATAAGCATACGCTCCGAGATTTCCAGCAAAGTGATACGATTTGTCATCAGATAATTAATAAGCCGGTCTTTGACTTTGACCTACCTAATTGTTAAATAGGACAACTATAAACAAATCTCCGAAAATATTGTATGTTCGTCGCAGCGCGATTGTTTGTTTATTCTGACTATATATTGATGGGTGTAATAGAATGATTGGAATATTACGTAAAAAAGGGCTGATTGTAACAGTCGAAAAAAATAAGATAAACGTGTCTCAAACGCGCTTACCTTCTGTGCTGCATCATATGGTTCGTCGGATGAAGTAGGTGGTAATATTAGTCCAGTAGCCAAGACCGGGCCCGGTTACACAATTTATATAACAACGTTTATTATACAGGATTTATAATAGCGGATTTAACGGCACATACACACCACAAAGCGTTCGTCGCGGCAATTTCTGTAGTACTCTTCGTCCAACGGCGTTTCACTTGTCTTACAGTCAGACGAAGCGCATGTGTGGGCCAAAGTTTTAAGTAAGCGATTTGAGACAAAGCGCGAATATTTAAATAATAAAATAGAAATTAATTCATTCTGGAACATTTCCTGCCCCGAAAAAATGTAAATAATACATTTTTAAACTGATTAGACAATTCCCCAAAATAAAAACTAAATATTAAAGCAAAAAAAAGGAAAGTTCAAATAATAGAATTAAACCAAAAAACAATTATAAAATACTACAGGTAGCATATAAAAAAAAAAAAATTAATTATTAGGTAGTGGACACAGTTTTACCAATGGCCGTTTTAAAATAAAATTTTGTGTTTTTACCGTAGCTACTCTGGCTATGTTATCATTACCAAAATGCAGTTGAGTAACACGGCCTAACAACCATTTATTAGGAGGTAAATTATCGGTTTTAACCAAAACTAAAGTACCAAGTTTGGGGGTGTTAGCAGGGTCTAACCATTTGGCTCGCTGCTGTAGGGTATGCAAATATTCTTTATGCCAGCGACGCCAAATATCTTGATGGATGCGCTGTAACAATTGCCACCTAGAAAGGCGATTTAGGGGGACGTGTTCGAAACTGGGAACGGGAAATGTGGTTAAAGGTTCCATGGTCAAGAAATGACCGGGCGTTAAGGCGTTGATATCGTCGACATCATTAGATATGGCAACTAGTGGTCTAGAATTTAATATGGATTCTATAAGTGTCAGAACTGTATAGAATTCCTCAAATGTGAGAATTTGATCACCTACGACGCGGCGAAGGTGAGTTTTAACACTTTTAACGCCAGCTTCGGCTAGACCATTAAAGTGAGGAGCTCCGGCGGGGCTAGGAAACCATTGAATAGTTTCACTTGCGCTGGCCTGTTCCATAAGAGAAAGCAATTCGCGTTTTGCACCCATAAAATTTGTGCCACAATCACTGTATATCTGTGAGACTTTTCCACGCCTTGCAATAAGTCTTTGTAGAGCGGCTAAAAATGTTGGTGTAGATAAATCACTGGCAAGTTCCAAATGTACAGCTTTGGTAGCCAAGCAGACAAAAATGCAGAGGTAAGCTTTGCAACTTTTTACTCCTCTGTGACGACTAATAGTTATATTAAATGGGCCTGCGAAATCAACAGCGGAGCGACCGAAAGGTTTTACCTCAGACACTCGAGACAGCGGCAAATTTCCCATTGGGGGTTGATAAGAGGTAGGAGATGTTTTCCAACAGCGTAAACATTTCGAAATCACTGAGTTAATGGCTCGTTTTGAGGATAGAACCCAAAACTGTTGAGCTAGTAAGAAGTGAGTACTTCTAAAGCTAGCATGAAAATACTTTTCATGAATGTGGCGAATGACGAGTGTAGTTAATAGACTTTGTCTAGGTAATAATATGGGGTGCTTAGATGAATAAGATATAGATACATTATGCAGTCGACCTCCCACTCTAAGAATATTGTTATCATCTAAAAAAACATTCAACTTACGTAGAGGTTTAGAAAAACGTTTGGACTCAATTTCTTCCTGAAAGTGAGTATATTGAGTAGTTTTTACCAAAACAAGAAGGGCCGAATACAATTCGTCGGTGGAAAATATGCCACAATGTTTAGAAAGCGGGTGTTGACAATTGTAGATAAAGCGCAAGATGAAACTTAAAATATTTTGAATAGTAGTCAAAGAAGAATAATTTTCAAGCATAGAAATTACAAAACTCTCATTGTTATGATTGAGTAATGTTGAAAATAATATCATTTTACGTTGTTCTTCTTTGGGAAGCGTAACCTCATTAGCAGAAGATGG